TATAACGGTATCCTTTGACGAAATAATAGACAAAGCGTGAATGGGAAGACTCCGGCGCGTCGTCTCACTTTCAAATGCGTTTAAATTTAATCCCCAATTAAATCTGCAGTTAAATCGTGACATTTTATTTTCAGGAAGTCCCGCGATTATATGAAATTATGCTAGACCCTCTTGTGTGAGGCGGAAAGTAGTTTTTATAAAATTTATCATTATACGCGGATTCGCACAACAGCTTTCCCAACTTTATTAGCCTTGCTACCGTACAATGAATATTTCGTGAACCACGCTACGCAACATACATTTATAAGCTTATGACATTACGGGATTTCTAATCAGAATTTATATTTCGAAAACATGAAACTTGCATTTCTGGCCGATGTGCAATTATTCCCCCGTCCGCGCGACGGAAAACACGTGTAATTTTCCGCCGAGTTTCTCACTATCATTGTCACGCCGACTAACTTTACACACGTCGACGACCCGCTGTCAGAGTAGCGAAGTATCAGACGGTCTGATATCCGACGTTGCTTAGACATTCGCTGCTCAAATATTCTCGGGATTTCTGCACGACGTGACGTCCTCACATCTAACCGTTGTGTATGCAGTATGCACGCGAACTTACGTTTACAACGTACGCTTACGGAAACGCGTAACATGTCGTGTAAGCTGGTTTATTAATGGAGTTTCTAATGACGCACTTTTGCACGCTTACAATTCGTCATTCTACATTACAAGATCAAATTGATTTTTCTGTGCGGTAAATATTTATTCATAAACATTATTATGTGTCAATTATGTGAAATATCATATGCGTTGTATCAGTTAAGTAATACTAATTTAAATAAATTGAGAGAGAAATTTTGTATCTTGGAAGACACTCATCTATCATTCAAGGTCGATCATGGATATTTTTGTAATTTAAACAAATATTAACCTTTACCGTACTAATATGGGTAACTAGTGACCGAGCGATTCCTGTTCGTGCAAGTTTCTTTGAGTCTTTCGGTAATTATAAATTATACTACATTTTATTATTTTCCAAAATAAAGAGTCAATTATTTATTCTAGAAAGTTGAAAGTATGTTGGTGAATTTTTAAAGATTTTTTTTATTATTTTGAAGAGGTGAAAAAACGAAGAGATTTGAAGTGACCCTTGATGGTATGGATGAGGCATCAAATTGTAGATGGTATGATATAAGGGTTAATGGATATCTTGCGGAAATGTTAACTACATTCGATTGGAACATCTGAAGATGGCTTGATATAAAGCCGAAACATGTAATGAAGCTTACTAACGTTCAATTAAATTTTTATTTTATTTAATTCTGTGACATATATATATTTTTAACGTTTTATTTGACTCTTATATGTCCTTTACAACATTATTTGAAATTTTATAATATTTAAGAGTCCTACGAATCTTTTTATTGTTATTAAATAAATGCTTTATCGTCGCATATAAATAGAAATAATCTTAAAAATCAGCTGAACTTTTTGCGCGGTTCATTTTTCCTCTTTTTCTCTCCACGGGAAAAAAAATTATAGGCTTAATTAAAGAGAAGAAACAACCTTAAGAATGTGAGAAACAAAAGAACGTAGTGTCTTAATGTTAGAAATAGTTTTGAAAGAAGGAACATTTTGTATGCTCAAATTTTAATTATTACGACAATATCTACGGAACGAGTTCCAAGCGTCATTAATGAACACCATTGTCCGTGACTACACCGGTGACGCAAAATGTGCGCGTATACGCATTCTCCTGACTGTCAACTCACTTCCTGCAAGCGCAGAGAGCTTTTTAGCAAACTGTCAAACTCCGCCGAACCACGAATTACTCATTCCAACACGTCCACTGTACTCCAATGTACTCTCGCGCGGATCAAAGATTCCGGAATTCCGTGGGCACACAGACTCGAAACATCGATTCTCGACCACGAAGTACCGAGAGATCGTCAAACGATTGAGCGACATACTCGGTAGACTCACGTTTAACAGCTAGTAATGCTGAATAATTTGTCAGCGGCAGTGTCGAGAATATTTTTGCGAAAATGTTTCGTCGATCTCAATGATAATATTCTCTGTATATTTGCATTCATTTCTCACAGACGTAGAGATAAAATATTTGATAAAACTCAAATAATTATTTTCTAATTAGCATATTTTACATATGGAGAGGATTAATGCACAATTTTATAAATATGATTAATATTCCCTTTCAATTAAGAGCTGAATTTATAATTTAATATTTGAGGAGGGGGGCGGGATAATAAATTGCTCTTTTAAAAATTTTCAACTGTATTTAAAGAACCACATTTAAAAAGTCCAAATTTATAAAGATTGATTACCGATTTCGTACGTTTCAAACACAGACAAATTTTGGCCCCAAATTGCCACCGTTCTTTATCAAATTTGACGAACTTTTTTTATACTGGCACATTTATGAGAAAAAGACCTGTGAATAAATTACGATTCTTGAAAATAAAATTTTTTATTATTTCTGCATCGACTTTATAATAACCGATTTTATAATATCCGATTTTATAATGCATTATTCAGATAGATATCTCAGACATAGATATAGGACAAGTGATTCCGATTCGGACTATAGTGCGGCAAGTAATTATTTTCGTCCAATTGTCTCCTCGCCGAATGCGATGTGCATCGAGTCACCCGACCGGAAGACTGGCGACAGCTGAGACAACGGAAATAAGATGGCGACCACACTGGTACCTTGTCCCATCGTTAGGTCAACGTACCATAGTGCGAACGTTAGTGTGCTTCTCCTCGCGTAAGTTATGTACGTAATTACGTACGTAACTTATTGTTAGCGCAATGCGTCTATTTATTGCAAAATACACACGTGCGCGGGCGCATTGGAAGTTTCCGAGCTTCCTCGGTGGTCGCAAGCGAGCGCAATATGTGCTACAGCTTATTGGCCGGCAGTTAATACCGAAGTTGCGTAACTATACGATGCCCCGTTGCGAAAAGGTGTCCCTTTTGCCTCTAAAATAATTACTTCATGAGATGTATTCTCTTTGCCATCCTATCTCTTTCCCTCTCTCATTTCTGTTAAACTTTAAAATCATTTTATATTGCTTATATTTTCCAAAGATAGATAATCGGAATTTCGTCGTGAATAATACTAAAATACGATATAAGATATAGATGTACTAAGTCTGATATATAAAGTCACCACATTATTAATGTTCATTAATATACAGGGTGTCCCAAAATTCGCACATTAGGAGCATAGAATATACTTTATGCTAAAGCAAATAACTTTTTCCTTTAGCAAAATTGCGTCCGATAAATAATTTTTGCGCTTATTTGTTAACTTCAACCTGCTCTCCTACAAAAACTACTTATCGGATGCAATTTTGCTAAAAGAAAAAGTTGTTTTTGTGCTAAAACGAACATTTTTTTCCTATAGTAAAATCATATTCGATAAATAATTTTGCGTTTACTCGTATAACTTCAATCTACTCTTCTGTAAAAACTACTTGTCAGACGCGCAATTTTGCAAAAGGAAAAAGTTGTTTATTTTAGCATAAAGTATCATGTCTTGTACTCCGAATGCACGAATTTTAGAACCCCTGTGTATTAAATTACACAAATGTGTATTAAATAAAATTACACATATATAATTTGTATTAAATTAAAAAAAATAAGCTCTTTTATTTCCATTCTTGTTATATTTTTATTCTTCTTGCACTTGCTCCTATTTTTCTTCAGTGTGTTGAATTAACCTTTACAATACAAGGTACAAGTTTGATGCCCATTCGTCCAAACATGGGTCACTAGAATCCGTCCATTTTTTCACCTATTCAGGACTATGTTTAGATTCTCACCTGAGTACCACCCAGGTATCACTCCATCTTTGTTATTTACCGACTGTTAAGCAACGATGACATAACACGTCTGGAGAACATCCGGGTGGGAATCCGAACACGCCTCAGAATGGTTCAAAAAATTTCTAAAAATTCACCAACATGCTTTCAATTTTCTAAAATAAATATTGAAACTTCATTTTGGAAAATAATAAAATATAGTATAATTTTTTTATAATTATCGAAAGACTCAAAGAAACTTAAACGAACAGGAATCGCTCGGTCACTAGTGACTCAACCTTGTACGGTAGAGTTAAAAATAAAAAATGTACAAAATTTTAATAAATATTTGTTTGAATAGTATAAACTAAATATTTACTAAATGTAAATATTTATATTTATTTGGTACAAGAACCATTGATTTAACTATATTTTCTGTTATTGAGTAAATATTTATTTACTATAAGTAAATATTTAGTTAGCACTATCGAAAAAAATATGTATTTAGATGTAGCAAGTCTTCTTTTTAGCGTATCATTCACACGAAAACGTGTGCATATAGATATGATATATATGAATGTCTGCAGTGCAGTGAGTTTCGGGTCCATAGGTTTGCTAAGCCCAAATGACTATGCAGATCGCCAGATCAGTCATCCCTGTGGGAGTATGTGCATAAAACGCAAAACTTAAATGGTGAAGACATCTCGTGGAACATCCGTTAGATTTTGAGCAAAATCCCCAACAAACACGTGAATCTTTTTCAGATAAATATTAGAACTTTACGATATTATCCACGATAGATACAAAGTCAGTCACTGAAAACGTGGTTTATGTTCAGAGAACGAAAAGGATCTCAGAACACGATGAACATCAGTCGATGGTACAGAACTCGACCTACGTGTACACGATCAATACAAGCTTTAGAGGAAAGTACTACCATCTCTTCCTGGTTCCCGGAAGCTCGTCATGATGACTGCGATATTTGCGCTGCGGTCTGAATTTGTTTGATCGATAACGAAATTAAATACCTTCAGTAGTTGACAGTAATCCATATCGGCAATCACTACAGGATGCCGAGAATTGTGGCTTAATTAAATATAAAAAAATTGCGTCAGTTGAAACAAACTCATCGATCTATTACGCAGTGTACAAAATACCATAAAATTTTTTAAAATGTCTCATCCATCAAAATTGAAGCAGCCCAGACATCGCTATATAGTGCAAAAGCTACGTGTTATGGAGGGAACAAAGTATGTGTGTTGAATAATACAAAAATAGAATTAATATAAAAATATAATGTATATTTAATATAAAAATATTTTTCAAGCGTTAGATAAATTTTACTATTAATCATACAGTTTAATAATTTATTATTATGCCAATTAATTAATTTCTTTACTAAGCACAATATTTTACAGAAAAAAGTTCCTAAAATAAATATATATTTTATTAAATTATTGCATTAAAAATGAATAAAAAATTTCTTGTCATGTATAATATATAACCTCGCTTCAGATGGGACCGTCCTTTTCCTAAATCGAAGGAATATTGGAAGAAGTTTTGCGACGATGAAGAGAAAAGATTAATTAGAGTAAGAAATTCATTTCCAAAATCACCTTACCTTCCTATCATTCCTATTTTGCGCGATTTTGAAACAGACGTTCGCGATATCGTAGATTCTTCCGTTCCTCGAAGCTTCGATGAAAACGTACTTCTCGTAGATCCGAAATCCTTTGAAACGCCAGATATTTCTTCAACAAGAGACAACGAAAGTTTTATTTCTAACGTTACAGAGCCAATAGTTAAAATCTCTCCTCCCACACCAAAAAAACCATCAAAAAATGACGCAGTCACAATCGCTAAAACGAATACAAAGGAACAACGCACGCTTGTTACTATTCAAAATAAACTTACACTCAAAAAAGTGGATTCGTACAAAAAACCAGAGTCGCTTGATGTTTCTTCCAAAAATTCTATCATACCACATGACGGATCAAGAGATGGAAGAATATATTCAAACAGGACATGTCCTTTTCACAGATATGAATCCGTGGTGAAAATTTTTGACGACGATATCGAAAGATATTTGACGGAAGATCCGAGAGCAAATGTGTCGCTGGGAGAAAAATTGAACAAATTGCCATACGTGCAGAATGCATCTAAATATGATAAAGATAAGAACAGAATAACTTCTGTCGAGAGTAAGAAGATCGAAAGGGTTACTGTTCCACAAAAGGCATTGGAGTATTATCTGGACAATGCTGTTGATTTAACCACAAGTGGAACTGCAGAGGTCAAATCTAAAAATAAGAAAAATTATATACTTGACAAACAATACAATTTCAGATCTGACGTTTATACATCAAAATTTAAATTTTCTTCCGGCAAAAAGTCTACAAAAGAGATAAAGTCCATGGATAGTTTAAAAATTGCATCGTCGTTTCCAAAATCATATCAACCCCAAAATAGAGTTAAAAAAACATCTGGTAAAGTAATAAATCAATCATCGAATTTACAGACTCTTGAAATTCGAGAAAAGCTTATCGATGAATCAGAATGACAAGATGCGATACCTAATCTTCAAATGCAATTGGAGCAGACGATTGATAATAGAACGCGGGAATTCTTGAATTACTCTCAACGATGCGCATATAAGGCATTGAAGCGCTTGACGCTTAACAAAAATCTGAATTTCAAACCAGAAGTGTGGGAGGAAACGTCGGTGAGATCACGCGCTTCCACTGACAGATCGATAATAGATACAAACGAGTCAGACGTGGCTGAGAGCGAAAGTCCTGAATCCAGGACTCACAGCCCAGAATTTCCTTTCTCACGCGAGATGCAAAGAAGATTGAGAGAAACGTGGGCTGCAAATATCGAAGAGCAGGGCGTTAAATATAAGCTGTTAAAATTGAACTCCGACAAATCCTCCATGGTTCCCGCAAAATCATTGACGAAGTCCGCCTTTAGCACGAAGTTCGCTAAGTACGAAACCTGGGAAAATCGTTCGGCGAAATTCCTAGACGCTATTCCGAGGATTTCGTGCTTTCGACGCAAGAACCGTGATAGGTGCTTATCCTGCATGCATAAATCCCTGCGGAAGGCGAACGAAACCGAAGCTGTCTCCTCACGAGCATCATTGCTAACGGAAATTGAAGCAAAAGACGATGGCGAGTCCAGCTCCGACGGACTTCCGGAATTTCGCGAGGAATTGCGGAAGATATTATATTCTCAGAGAAAGGAAATTCTGAGATATCCGGAAACGGTTGAGGATGGGTCAAGCAAATCAGCATCGCCGTCGCTTCAAGTGGAACAAGAAGGTACCGAGATTTCGATGCAGATCGACTCAATTCAATCTAAGGATAAAACATCGAAACCCACTGAAAGCCTGCTGTCTAAAGATCCAAGGAGTTTGAAAGCCACCTCCAGTTCGATTTCAATATCGTCAGACATTGAACGATCAAAAATTTCGTCTTCGGAGGCGCATACCTCTGACGATGAGACATCATCCCCGCTGGCGCTGGATAATGATCCATCCCAATACAAAAACATGGCGCCCTGTCACTTACCCACGGTCTTGCTACCCAGCATGGAACCCTTGCGAGCTTTGAGACACAAAAAACCGATTACCATGGAGTCGCGAATTGCTCTCATGGAGATTACCACTTCGATGAAGGAGAAATCTGACGATGAATATTACGATGACGAAGAAACAACGAAGGAAAGACCGCCATCGAAAACAACCAGCGAGAAATCTGAAAAGGCTGACGAGAAGAAAGATACGCTCTCGAAGACCCCGAGTGCCCTCTTGAAAGTTAAGTCGCAGCAACAACTGATATCGCCAATCGTAGAATCTGCACGAAAGGACGAGCTGAAGAGAGGATACAGTTACGCGAGCATCAAGGATTTATCGAAGGATTCTACGAGACGTACGTTCGAGATTCCTCGAGGCAAGGAGGAAGGTGGGCGAGGAAAGGTAATCCCCGTGGAGGAGATAGATTCCACGAAAGGGTCGACTTCCTCCGACTCAGTGAAAGCGGAGAGGCGCGTGGAATTACCGCTTTTGACGATCGCTGAAGTCTCGCGATTTTTAGAGAAAGCTAATCGCGACGACATGTCGACCACGGCCATGTTGAAGAACTTGGCGAACGAATTTTCTTCGCAGATGATAAAACAACACAGCACTAGCATAACGGCGACAAAAAAGCGCGCTAAACTAGTCGCGAAATTAACAAAGTTACTTGTGGACTCGCAACGTTATTTAAATCCTGATAAATTCCCGTCTGACCTTGTTTTTTCCACAAAACAGCCTCCCGCTTGCAATACCCGTCTGCTGAGACGTGCCCTACCGCTTGATTCCTACAATCTTGTCGCCCCATTATTGGGTATGCCGAATTGGTACCCGAAAAAAGTCGTAGGAAAAGAAGTGCATTATGAAGAGGAAGAGGAAGAAGAAAAAGAAGAAGAAGAAGAAGAAGAGACGGAAGGAGCGATTCCTTTCGATTTGATTGTACGTATATAGATATATTTCTACAACTATCGAATATTCTATAATACATTCTATAACGAATTTAGATTTTTTTTAAAAACTTTGGCGTAACTTTCAAATTTTTAACATTATATTTTCGTGATTATGTTTCTAATTAATTTCTTTTAATAAAAATTAATTAAAACTAATTGAAAATTACATTGTCGCTACGTAATATATTTTTTATGTTCGATAAATTGATTATATAAGTCAAAAATGGAAATAAGTCTCTCATTTAATACTGTGAATTCTATCGTTACTCGGACACAGTAAGCTTTGTCCGTTTGAGAGAGTTATTAGTTGAAAGTAAGCTTTTATACGCCCGCAGGTGCATCCCCCGACGACCAAAGACATTTCGATGAACGGAGATGAGCCTAAAGTAGGTCAAGTCAGATCGAATCCTTACGCTCTCTTTTTAAAGAAACCGCGGCGCAAGGTACGACATCGACAACGCAAAATAACATTATTATATATTTGTACGTTAAAATCGGCTTCTACAGCTCCATGCAAAAGTCTTCGGTTTCTTAATACCGAAGCCCATTGATCGTTACAGGTTGTCACTTGGCGTCCTTTAACGGCAGCCGATCTTAAAGGCTATGATCCCGAGGCTACTCTTGAGATGAGAGCTAAAAATATTACAAACAGGATATGCCGCGACTTCTGCGAGTGGCTGCGTAGTTTAGGCGGCACCGACAAAGTCATCGACGAGGAAATCCTAGGAGATATGTTCGAAATTGACTTTACGGCCGACGCCAGCAGAACGATGGAGGTACAGATAGAAACAAAGTGCATAGACGCATAGTGTATTGCGCTCCCGTAAATGCGTTCTCGCGCGTGCACGCGATAGTCCTACAACGGCGTAACATCATAATGCGATGCATGATGTAACAATGATAACACGCACTTTGAGCGGTGAACTACACAACGCGGGATTTGAATTATAACTTCAACGCAGTACTAGAAAGCTGACCTGATTGCACGTTCGCATTTCTCAAATAAAGCTCGTCGTCTCTCTCGTGGAGAAAATAACATTTCCTTCCAATAGAAAAAACATAATTAAATTAATGACAGAAATCTCATTATCGTAAAATTGTTTTTTTTTTAATTTGTACGTCTTTTTTTCGAGAGTGTTAGAAATTCATAGCAAAAAAGAAACTTTTTTACGTTACGCCGGAGAGCGATAAGAAAATAAAATATTCGATTATGTTTGAGATAGATGTCAATGAGGGAAATGCCGATGGTACCTAATGATGTTGCCACAGCGAGACAGTGTCTTGATGCAAGTGAGCTTGCCATGACCAAGAAGCATCTGATCAGAGATGTCAAAGCCGAGAGTAAGCCGACCAAAACAATAGCTTTTGGCACCGCGATTCCCTGGAAGCTTCGGTTCGTACCACCCAAAAATCGGGTGAGAGAGAGGTGGCTACAATGCGAGAATGTGATGACCGATCTAGAAACGATGGACGTAGTCTGGAAAGACATAACGCATCTGGAGAGCGTCAGGTCTTTCGCAAAGTGGCTCGGTGAACGTACGGAAGTAAGTGCATGAGCAATTTTTACTCTAAACAATTGCTTTCTTCATCTTGTCATTATATTTCAGATTTTGCTACCGAATGCATTAAAAACCGCATTGACCACCAATTATGCGAAACATGCCAAAATTGACGACAAGATGCATTCGCAAATGAATGTCAAGCAGATTAGCGGCTTTAAAGTCCGCGACACCCTTTAGAATCCTGACTCGTCATTCGACGAGTAATTACCAGAAACAGGAGAGATCGGTGCTTGGAAAGAAATAGTCGATAGACCCTCAAAGTTCCTGCATACTGGCGCCAAATACGTTCGCGTAACCGATACGACCGCATGATGACACGGCGCAGAACGCCCATTTCCTGTATGCGGCGAACGGTTAACCTCCGTGCAGCCGCCATGGATGCTTCAATCGCAAACAATTCCCGTGGAAATTTCGACAAACGTTCAATTACGGGACCTAATTTTCTGCTAATGATCGTCACGTTTCACTAATCCAACGTAACGTAGAAATCAAGTTTCTCGCCGGGTTCCTACCTCGAATCAAAATGTATGGATCATTAAAAGGCGCGAACGGTTACCGGGCCATCATTCCTGATTTGGCGTGTAGATTGGATTAACAGTCCGATTTCTGTCTCTCCTACTCTCCCACACACTATGTACACACGTACACCCGCACATACACACGACAAATTAATTCATTGGCAACGCGGCGCACACCGACTAATATTGTATTTCGCTGCACCAATTATCGATCACTCAAGTCTCATTGCATTGAACTCCATTAAATACGTGCACGTAATAACTGTAATGTTAATAATGTTATTCCCATAGATTAATAATAATCTCTTATCAATATAAAAGAGATGAGTAATCCGTGGAACATATATTTCTCTTCATGTTGGAAACAAAAATGTCCTACGGTGCTTGACACTTCCGATATTTCTCGACTCCGTTCTCGATTTAACAAGCCGAACGCCATTGCAAATGGCATTTTACATTATTACATAGGTAATAATATGTAAAGTGATCCTATAAAAAAAGAAACAAAATGACAATGGCAAATAAAAAGCATGGATACCTGAAGCTGAACCATAGAGCTGACGATCTCGCATCGACGAGTTGTCTAGCAAAATAACGCAAACGAGCCGATGAAATATTGGAAACGTATCACGGACGCCGGATGTCCTGACAGTACTTCTGCTTACGACAGAAAACGCGCCTTAGACTCGCGGCAACAGCGGCAGGAAAGAGAAAAAAAGAGGGAGGGAAAAAAGCAAAACTCGCCTCATTCGCGATACATCTTCCTTGTTACGACGTATCTCCCTACCATAATTTTCTTTTCGTTTTTCCGCGGAATACTACGATTCAAATTATATCGCGCCAACGAACGAAGAGTCATTACGAGGCAACGAGGCATCAGGGTGACATCGTGACTAAAATCGTGGTTGAGGTTTTTTGCCTCGGGGATACAGGTCGAAAGTAAACGAGAGAGGTAAAGAAAGAAAGGAGAGAGGAGGGAAAAAGAGAGAAAGAAAGAAAAAGTCCAGATTCAAAAGAACGATATGCGTCGGTCGGGTTTGCCGCATGCTTCAAATCCGGTTCTTCTCTGTTTGCCTTTAATATTTATTTAACCTTTTTTTCCTGCATGCACGCCGGCATACGAAACGTGAAGCATTATTCGCGCGAGCGTTTTGCTAAATATTTACACGCAGCACGGTGGCATTTAGACAGCACGCCAAAGATACACGATTAACCCGTTTTTCTCAGACGCTTCGTATTTCCGTTGACTTCTTTATCTCAGAGGGGAGTTTTTAATTACAATTAGACATCAATCACGTAATCTTTATTATGTCACTAATTATATAGAAATTACATAGAGATTCATAATTCTTAAAGTGACAACTTTAAAATCAGAAAAATAGCTAATTAAAAGGTATAAAGTTCAATAAAAATTAATAAATTACGTTAATACAACTATTGATGTATATACTAGGAAAAAATTTATCATTGTCATCAAATGCTTAGTTAAGACATTTTTAACAACTACATTTTTGGTTTTATAACAAAAAATTTTGTTACTTCTACTCAATATTCTTCAGCTTCAAATATTTATTTATACTACAACTAAACAGTTCAGTTGGTATAAACAAATATTTTTGTTCGTTTTAAATTTCATAGAACAAAATAGTAATCAACTATTATACTAGGA